CTGGCCTGCCTGAGTGAGGGGCTGAGGGCTGTTTGAAGCTGGTCACACACCCTTCAGGGTGGGGGTCCCCACTGGGGTGCCTGGCCAGTCTGGGTGAGGGGCTGAGGGCTGTTTTGAGGCTGGGGGGGACTGAAGCTCCCAACCGCTCCTTTTTTTCTTTTTTTTCTTTTTTATTCTGGGCCAGCTTTAGCTTTGAGGATTGGCTCCATCTCTTAGGCCTCCGGGGCTAAAAGTAGGTTTCTGGCCTTTGCTTACAATGTTGCGAATCTGCTGGCTGAAGTCTGGTGGTATTTGTTAAAATGTTTCAAACTGCAGGCTCAGAGGCCTGCAATGGCAGGTGGGGAATGTTGGAGTCCTCTGTCACTGAAGCAAGCAAGCCTCATGTTAGTTTCAAGCTGTCTGGCTGCTGGCCGCCATCTTGGCTGACAGTTAATTTGCATATCTCGCTGATTAGCCAATGAAAAGGGTAGCGGTCGTACTCCAATTACCATGTTTCTCTTTTATTAGTGTAGATTATAAATATCTCATGCCACATAACACTAAAAACAAACAAACATACAATTCAACTAAAAAATGGGCAGAAAACCTGAATAAATACTTCCCCAAAGGGGAATATAGATGGTCAGTAGACTTATGAAAATATGCTAAATGCCACTAATCATCAGAGAAATGCAACTTAAAACCATAATGAGATATCAACTCATACTTATCAAAATGGCATTCATCAATAAATCAACAAATAACAATGTGATGATGTGGAGAAAAGGGACCTCTCATGAATTTTTGGTGAGATTGCAAATTCATGCAGCCACTATCAAAAACAGTATGCAGATTCTTCAAAAAAATAAAAATGTAACTATCTTATAACCTAGCAATTTGACTTCTGTTTTTTGTTTGTTTTTTTTTTTATTTTCTGGAGAAATCCAAAACATTAATTTGAAAAGATGTATGCAACATTATGTTCATTGCAATATTATTTACAACTAGAGGCCCAGTGCATGAAAATCATGCATGGGGAGGAGGGTTCCTCAGCTGGCCTTCACCATCTTGCAATCTGGGACGCCTTGAGGGATGTCCAACTGCTGGTTTAGGACCAATTTTGCAGGCAAACGAGCAGTTGGACATCCCTCTTGCAATCTGGGACTGATGGCTCTAACCGCTCACCTGCCTGCCAGCCTGATTACCCCTAACCACTCTGCCTGCCTGCCTGATCGCCCCTAACCATTCTGCCTGCTTGTCTGATCACCCCTTACTGCTCTACCTGCCTGCTTGATTGTCCCTAATTGCTCGCCTGCCTGCTTGGTAGCCCTTAACCACCTTTGCCTTGGCCCCTGCTGCTGCAGCTTTGTCTGGAATAATGTTGGGATGGTCTTTCGGCTGTCTGGTCTAATTAGCGTATTACATTTTTATTATTATAGACTAGAGGCCCGGTGCACAAAATTCATGCACAGGGTGGGGTGTCTCCCAGCCCGGCCTGCACCTTCTCCAATCTGGAACCCCTCGGGGGATGTCTGACTGCTGGTTTAGGCCCGATCCCTCTCACAATCCAGGACTGCTGGCTCCAAATCTCTCTCCTTCCGACCTGCCTGATTTCCCCTAACCACTTCTGCCTGCCAGCCTGAACACTCCCTAACCACTCCCCTGCTGGCCTGATTGATGTCTAACTGCTCCACTGCTGGCCTGATGGCCTACAACTGCCCTCCCCTTCTGCAACCCAACTCCTCTGCCGGAACCTGCCTTCTCTATGCAAGGTGGTGAAGACACCAGGATTGGCCTCCTCTATGCTGCGCAGAGCTGCAGGACCCCAAGGCCTCACTGTATGGAGTGGCCTCTGGGCCCTGCCTCCCCTGTGTGCACGGCCATCTTATGATTGCCATCTTGTGATGACATGAGGGCATAATGCCACCTATTAGTATAGATCAGTGATGGCAAACCTATGACACATGTGTCAGAGGTGACATGCGGACTCATTTTTTTTGGTTTATTTTTCTTTGTTAAATGGCATTTAAATATATAAAATAAATATCAAAAATATAAAACTTTGTTTTACTATGGTTGCATATATCAAAAAATTTCTATATGTGACATGGCACCATAGTTAAGTTAGGGTTTTTCAAAATGCTGACACGCTGAGCTCAAAAGGTTTGCCGTCACTGGTATAGATAGCCAAACAATGAATACAAACTCTATGTCCATCAATAAATGACTGGATAAAGATAATGAGCAATACAAATACAATGGAATATTACTAGGATATAAAAAATAATGAAGTCTAATTATGGCAACATGGATGGACCTAGAGAGTATTATACTAAATGAAATAAGTCAGAGAAAGACTGTATGATTGTACTTATACTAGTATGTGTAATCTATAAAACAAAATAAATGCACAAACAAGGCAGAAACAGACTCAGACACAGAGACCAAACTGAGGGCTGCCAGATTGGAGAAGGCTGTCAGATTGGGGTTGGGTAAAAAATATAAAGAGATTAAGAATTACAAATTGGCAATTACAAAATAGTCACAGCTTAGGAAATCTAGTAAGAAGCATTGTGATAATTATGTATGGTGCCAGTTAGATTTCTTGGGCAAATATCTCAGTTTGACAGAAGTTTGACAGTAGGTACTCTACTTACTGGGGATCACTTCATAAATTATATAACTGTTTAACTACTATGCTAAATATAATATGGAATTTCATCTGAATTTGCAAAGAATAGGAAAATTAAGAGAAAACCTGGTAAGTAGAGTGTTCAGAAATATAGGAAGGAATGAACAACAAGTAGATTACTGCCCGCCTTAGTAAACCAAAAATAGCAGTGTGTACATCAAATACTAATTAATAAAAAGAGGTAATGGAATAAGAAAGTAACATGAAATGTAACTTTGAGCTCGGTCACTTGATTGGCTCATTCAACTGCCACTGGAAACTAAAATGTAACTTTTTAGACCTAACTGCAGCTAGATTTCTGGGTGCACATTATTCTCGAAAAACCAAAGTATTCAATTTATGGATCTGAGAGGCTGCAGTTAGACCAGAGTCATTGTCCCGCTTTCTCAATTGTGCCTACTGCCCTATCAAGTCATGGAAAAGGAAGTGTCCTCCGCCACCATTGTTCAGAGCCCTTCTTCTCCTCTAGGGAACTGACATGCAGTGCTAGGTCACAGTGGCCTCTGGTCTTCAGGCTAGCATCAGTGATGTCCTTCTTGGTGACAATTTCCCATTAACCAACTCAAAAATTTGGGGGAGTCACTTTGAAAGACTAACATGAGTCCATACCGGAAGGGCTGCCACGATTTTGTAAGCAAATAATTTCCTGTGTTAAATTCATTCCTCCTTAAAATGTCCCCGGTATTTGTTTTCTGCAATGTACTGTGATTGAGAGAGTAAATAACAAGATAGAATCACAGGGAAAGTTGAAGAAGTAGAAAACAAGGAGGCAGAAACAAATTCAACCTTAATAAGTAGCCCCAAATTGTAAAGGGACTTACTTTTGCCAACTTATAAAGTTGACAGTTAGACTGGATAAATTGCAAAATTAAACTCTATGCTTTTCATAAGATTATACATGATACTTAGAAAAATAAATATTAATAGAAAATATATGGAAAAAATAGGCCTGGTAAATATTTACTAAAGTGAAACTGAATGACAAAGTAGATTTTATCACAAAGAGAAATTAAAGTTTAAAAATAATGCCAGTAATAAAAAAAAATCATTAAAATCATTGGAAAGTTTTAATCTTCCCTGTATTTAATAAATACCTTCATAAAATATAAAATAAAAATTCATAGAACTTCCAGTAAAATAAAAGAAAATCCACAATTGTAGTAAGAGATTTCAATCCCTTTTCAATTGTTGATGAATTAGTAAAGAGATTAAGGATTTGAGCAACCTAATAATTAGGGTTTTCAAATCCTTAATGTCTTTAGGTAAAAATTAAGTAAATTTAAGCAAAAAATTAAGTAAGCCTTTTAAATTAATAGATTAATTCTAAATTGAGTAAAAAAAATCACTTAGTGTTTTTTGTTAATTTACCCTATTCAAGATTCCATAATATAGAGGTAAATGCCAATTCCCAACCCACCACATACATATCATAGCTTCTCCCGTTCCAGAAATCTTGGTTCTAGATTTGAATCAGTTAATATCCTGATGAAAATCATTTATTCATTCATGTATTTTAACAAAGCCCAGTGGACAAGAGTACAAACCTGTGACTTTGCCCAAGGTGAGTGACCTCACAGCCCTGAACTCCGCTTCTGGGGAGAAGTTATAGTTGAGCCGGAGATGCTCATCCATCTGCGGGGAAAAGAAACAAGATGCATCAACAAAGTCGGCCCCCAAAGGACACGCCACACCTCCTCTGAAAATAGCTGCAGCACCCATGGGACGGACCCCTCTCTGGGACTTTCCCCTGGAGAGCTGGGTAATGCCTCACTAATCCTCCCACAATGCACGCAAAAGGCCCTTTCCTTTCTCTTGGCTCTCACACAAGTCTTCTCCCTGGAAATTCTGTGCAGCTTTTACAGTATTTATCTCCCCACTGAGATTTTCTCGCCAAACTCTTTGCTGCAAATAATCAAACAAGTAAAGCCTTCTTAGAAGCCAGGAACCTGCTGTGTAGGATTAACATGAAATGGAAAGCAGGCGCTCATTCCACATTTCTCCCCCCTCCTCCCCATTTTGTCCTTGGAGCCATCCCTGTTTCCTTTTCTCCATTAGTTCTGACCTTGTCTCATTCAGGTATGGACACTGGGGGGTTTTCTTGGGCAAATATCTCAGTTTGACAGAAGTTTGGCCCTGGGGAGGAGAGCCTCGCTGGGTAGTTGCCACCAACATGAACCCCATCTCACAGGTGTAAGCAAAAGCCTCTACTGGGACTCTTCAGGCCTTTATTGCTAGAATCTTTTTTAGGGAACCCTTCATGGCTCACCCACCACTAATTCCAGTTTCACCTCTTTGCTGTCTGATTCCTCTTTCTAAGGCAGTATTTCCCCAATTGTCTAGTCAGATCCTGCCAGTTTCTTTCAAACTCTACTCTGAATATTTAAATGATATCCCTGGAAGCGATCCTCATTGTCTTCAGGTTTATCTGAAAGAGAAGGAACCTAGGACCCTTTTATCTGGGTGCCCTTGGGGAGTGACTGATCAGGACTAGTAACCATTTTCCCCGCTCCTGCTGCTGGGACTTCCTTTCTGCCGCTGTTTGCCGAGCAGTAGCTTCTGCTGTGAGAGAAGTCACTGGCTGTGACCTGTGGTAAGTGATTACATGATTTATTACCCTTCTCTTATGAAACTAGACTGTAGTAATATTTGTTGTTTTTTGAGCACTTGTCATATCAGATACTGCACTGAAGCGTGTTTCGAAATGTATTCTTCTCTGGAACATTATGAAGTAAGCAGTATTGTCCCTGTATCACAGACAGGGGAGTGATATCATCCAGAAATCAACGATGTGGCCAAGGCCACACAGTGTCCAGGAGCAGGGCCCCAGGCACTGTGTTTTTGGCTTTACTATCCATACCTCTCTAGACATGTGAGCAACTTTTAGACAATCACTTTGTGTTTTATTTCTGAATTTCTACAAAATTAATTAACAATATTTAAGTACCTACTGTGTGCCAGACACTGTTCTAAGTGCTCCCAGGGTCCACAGCTCCTGGAAGCGTTCCTTCATCCCTTGCTCCAGTAAATGGATCCTCGCCTCATGGTGCCTTTTTCTGCTCTAACTTTGCATTACGCTGCATCATAATGACCCACTTTTTCTCTCTCTCGCCCTCTCCAATAACCTATTGGCTCTTTGAGAATATGGATATCTTATCAATATATGTCTTCTAAAGGGTCTACTACAAAAAAATGGCAAAATAATTCCTAGCACGGGTTTGCTGAGCGGTTAAATAAGCGTCCATGTTGCTTCCTTTCTACCTCCTGGGCTAGGAAGACAGCACATGGCACCACCAGGATGCCTGCTGTGCAGGAGCTGCCCATCCCCAGGCTCAGGGATTCAGATGCCCTAAGGAGCTTCTTCCTGTGCAACCTCAGCTCTCAGCTGCCTTCCTTTTCTCTGGAACTGCCCCTCCCAGCAGGGGCAAGGGTCCTCCTCCACAGTGCAGGTGGGGAGGAGGCTGAAGTGAGTGGGGATTTCCTGCTGCGTGGAAAGCAGCGGCAGGATTCGGAGAAATGAAGGTTCAGCTGAGCTTCCTCTGGCTCCTGCCCTCACCTGCTCCCCAGGCTGCACAGGGTCAGCTTCCTGGGGAAAGGTTCCCTGGACATTGACAGGCTTATGCTCAGATGCCCCACATGGGAGAGACAATGATTCAAGTGCATGAGTCATTCCTATCCTTCTCTCCTGCTTGAAGGGACGTACCAGATGGCTAAGGAAGAGAGAGGGAGCCAAATGGTAATTAAAGGAGTTTTAGAAAAATGAGAATTTGTAGTGGTTTGGAGAGGAAGGTAGAGTGACTCAAAAGAGACTGGAGGCTAGTGATGGAGTGTGGTCCATGAAGAACATGGGATGAGGGCACCTGAAAACTATACTGATTCAGATGCTGTTACCAATGTGAAAACTGTGGAAATGCATAAGGTAAAAGCAGTATAAAGGGGGCAGTAATGGGGGGGGGGTACCACAAACATTTATTCTTAGGAATTCTATATGTACAAGATGGCCTAGTCGAGGGCATCATTTAAGTATTCAGTGGGAAGTGCATTTTTGTTTTAGACTTTATTGTTACTTTCTGGTTTAACATTTTTATTCCTAATTATGATTGGAGGCTCAGGTCTGTCACCTGCCTGAGAAGCTTGACTGACCTCAGAATCTGGGACCCTGCCACTGACTGAGATGAGAAAGGGAGGAAAATGCCGAGATGCCAGGCCGCGGGCTTGGTTCCTTAGCTCTGCTCTTTCATATGATATTTATGAGAACTGACTGAGCTCAGTTCTATCTGCACCCCCCTTTTCTAAAGGTAAGTATGCTGATGCTCGGGCAGGTGAGTCCAAGACACATCGCTGGTCCAAGACACATAGCATCAGTAAGGAGCATGGACTCACACCCAGGCCTGTGTACACTGGGGATGCCTCTCTTGACCTCCAGATCTTCATCTTTCTAAAGGAGCAATTAGATACTTGGTTTCAAAAATGCCTGACACCTGCTTCTTTACAGCTTGTTATTTTGTGGCATTTTGGGCACTGGCTTAATCTGTTTAACGTCATAAGTGCATTTTAGATTAAAGTTCAACTTCCCTACCAAAGCATTTTTGCAAGCACCTGTCTTAAAATACACTAATCCTGTGACAATTCTCAAAACATCACCAGGAGTTCTTGCTTCTAGCTGCAGACCCAGCCCCCAAGGTCTCCTTCCTGTCATCAGAAATAGAAGAGAGAAGGAGGGGCAGCTCCAGGCCTGGGGAATGGGAGTATCTGCTATTAGGTGCTGTATGCCTCTGGCTTGCCTGCTTCTCATAGGTCTGAGTGCTGCCAGAGAACCTCAGGCCAGGCCAGTGGGGGTGGGGAGTAGGGGGTTGTGGGTTAGTGGTGGTGGTGGGGCAGGGAATGGAGTCTAACAGGTCTGAGTGCTGCCAGAGACCCTCAGGCCACAGGCCAGGCGGGAGTGGGGGAGGTATGGGGGTGGTGAGTTGGGCGTTGTGGGTTAGTGGTGGTGGTAGGGGGGAAATGGAGGAGTAGAGTAGCTTCCCATTTTCTATTTTTACTGAACAGCTTGTTCTAAATCCGAGGTTCTCAACCAGTGGGTCACGACCCCTTTGGGGGTCAAATGGCCCTTTCACAAGGGTCTCCTAAGACCATCGGAAAACACATATATAATTACATATTGTTTTTGTGGTTAATCACTATGCTTTAATTATGTTCAATTTGTAACAATGAAATTGGGGGTCACCACAACAGGAGGAACTGTATTAAAGGGTCGCGGCATTAGGAAGGTTGAGAACCACTGTAAATGGAGAGGAAGAAGAAGGGATTGAGAGGGAAGGGGGGAGTGTCAGGGAGGCAAGTATGTTACCTTACTGGTTAAATAAGTTGATTTGAAGTTAAAAAGGAAAAATGTCCCTGCCTCCACCTCTCTCTGCTCCCTTCAATGCTTTGGAAATTGTATGTGCTTATCATTGCCTATTAATTGATTGGTGGGAATTCTTTAGAGGGAGAAAATAAAATACCATTTCTTATTCTCTCACTTCCCTGTTTGTGTCTTTCATTTGTGGAAAAGAAGTTAGAAATTATAAAGAAGGAGGAGAAAAAGTGCATTTTATATACAAATGCTCACCAGAATGCATCCCAGATGTCCCCCCAGGACCTCAGTCAAAACATATTAAAACAAGAACTCATCATTCCCATCCCTTTCCTCCTTCAATCTGGCCTAAGTCCAAATTTTCTCCTATGATTTTCCTTCTTATTTCAAGAGCAAATGTTAGAGTAAGAACATTAAATTATAATCACTCAGGGATTATAATTTGTATTACATATTTGACAGTTAATCCTGAACTTACACCCAATCAGGAAAACCAACAGTCAATCTAGATTCTCTCGTCGCCCATATACACACACCCATGACCTTAAAAGGACAAGGACCTTTCATGGACTCTGGAAATAAAAGGAGGCCTGCATGGGAAGCGTGGAGTTTCAAAGGGATTGGTGATAGATGAGAAGGCTGCAAGGGTGCTGGCTCATGGAGACCCTCTCAGGTCAGTGCAAGATCTTTGGCTTTGGACCGAAGAGTAACACAATCTGACTAATCTCTTAACAGAATACCTCTGGCTACAGTGCTGAGAATAGGCTTCAGAGAAACAAACAAACAGCACGGGCCCTTCCATTAAAAGGCAACTGTAAGCTGTAATAACCAAGGAAACGATGAGAGTGGCTTGGAGCAGGGTAGAAGCTGTTGATCAATAGGATGTTGCAGGAACAGAGATGAAACCACAATTTTAACATTGAGCAACTGCAAGAGCAGAGTTGCCATTACCTGAGCTATGGGAAGTTATGGAAAGTGATGGGGATTTGGAGGAAGATTTTCAACAACTCAGCCTTAAGAGGTTACATTCAAGATGTCTGAGAGACATCCACACACATATGTAAAGTAGGCAGGTGAATATATAGGTCTGGAAATCAGGGAAAGGACTGATGTTAGAGATACATTTGGGATTCATTCATCAGCATACAAATGGCATTTGGGATTAATTTATCAGCATTTCACATGGACTTGTAACCAGACAACCAAGGGGTCTGGGCTGCCTGTCACTACTTGAGCAAATTAAGCAGAGACAGAGTTGAGTCATATATGAGCATTTATTCCAATCCTGCCAGCAGTATGGGAGAGCAGCAGGTCAGCCACAAAAATTTGTTCTGCCCCTCTGCATAAACAAGCTGCTTATACTGAATAGAAAGGCAAAGATTACTTGGGAAAGTAAGAATTATAGGCATGGGGAAGTAGGCATGGTATAGTCATTACAGGTAACTAGTCATGCGGGCTGGGGGGTGGGGCACAGAGGGCAGGTGCCTCTGGGTGCCCTGGGACCAGATTACAGGCGATAGGGGCTGGGGGTTGTAAAGAGCAGGTGCCTCCAGGACTAGATTATTTCATACATGAGGCTGTAAATCTCTCCATAATGACAGTCAGTTCTCAGAAGGAGGATGGACTGCATTCCGATATTAGCTCCCATGTCCCAGGGTGTATAACTCCCAACAAAGTTAGGATGTGCTTTCTAATCAGAACAGAACCATCGTGGTTAACAGAGCATGATTAATATTTCTTATAATTGTAGCTGGTCCCCAATATTCTATTTCTGCCCCTAACAGACTGGGTGAGTGAAATGAGCCACAGAATAAGTGTAGTTTAAAAAGAAAAGACTCTGAAGATGGAGTCCAGGGAGATTCCAAAGGTTAGAATTTGGAAGTTAAAGGGGGACCAACAAGATAAATTAGACACAGGAAGAAACACCAGGTGAAAGTATGTCCTGCAAGCCTAATGTCAATATGACCCAAGAGCCGACAGCAAGTGCTGTGTTAAATGGTGATGAGAAGACAAGTAAGAAAAGACCATTGGATTTTGCAAGATAAGGCCATGGTGTCTTGAGAAGTATTATTTTGCTGTAACACAGGGAGAAAAATCATTGATATGGATTTAAAAAAAATATATGCAAAATTCAGAGACCAAGTATATATAAAATATCTCCAAGGATGTGAGCGATAAACTAACAGAAAAAATATAATTAGATAAGAGGATAAAAGTTCTCCTTCCCTGCCTTAGAGCACGTTTTTTAGTGTTTTTTGTTTGTTTGTTTTCTGTTGTTGTTGTTGTTTGCTATTTATGTAATGTTTGCATGATTTATGCTTTGGGAACCCATCCTATAGAGCTGGTAAATGTTGAAAAAAGAAGGAAAGAGCATAATGCTGAAGGAATGTTTCTAAGTAGGATATGAGATTTAGCCCACAAGTGGTGGATCAGGCCTTAGCTAGGGCCATTAACTCTATATAGTCAACAACAAGTCACAGAAAGAGTACAAAGACACAGATGCAGGTGGTTGGGTAAAAGTGATGGTGAGTATATACCGTCCGAATGTTAAATCTTTTTCACAAGAAAGAAGAAAAAAAATGTCATCTGCTGAGAGTAAATATGTAGTTAAGATTGTTGGTGGTATGGAAGACATGAGGAGGCTTAAAATGATCACCTAGACCAGTGATGGTGAACCTATGACACGCGTGTCAGAGGTGACACACGAACTCATATTTTTGGTTGATTTTTCTTTGTTAAATGGCATTTAAATATATAAAATAAATATCAAAAATATAAGTCTTTGTTTTACTATGGTTGCAAATATAAAAAAATTTCTATATGTGACATGGCACCAGAGTTAAGTTAGGGTTTTCAAAATGCTGACACACCGAGCTCAAAAGGTTCGCCATCACTGACCTAGACTGTGGTTGGCAAACTCATTAGTCAACAGAGCCAAATATCAACAGTACGACGATTGAAATTTCTTTTGAGAGCCAAATATTTTAAACTTACACTATATAGGTAGGTACATTATTATTAACTTAATTAGGGTACTCCTAAGGCTTAGGAAAAGCCACACTCAAGGGGCCAAAGAGCCGCATGTGGCTCACGAGCTGCAGTTTGCTGACCACGGAGTCCTAGGAGATAAAAAATATGATGGCTTAAAACAAATAAGGGGGGAATGCTGGGAAGATTTAAAGATTAACTTCAGGTCATGATTCTAGAAAGGATGATGTGGACCCTGCCAATTCTCTATCGTCTCCTGTGTGATCTTTATACCATGAATTTTAAACTGAAATTCTATGGAGTGCCTGCCACATACTGTATTTTTTAAAAAATTCTCACCTAAGGATATTTTTCCATTAATTTTTATAGAGAGTGAAAGAGAGGGAGAGAGAGGTAGAGAGAGAGATAGATAGAGAGAGAGAGAGAGAGAGAGAGAAAGAGAGCGCCTGGTTGTCTCCTGCATGTGCCCTGACCAGGGCCTGGGATTGAACCTACAACCATGGTACACTCCCTTGACCAGGAATTGTACCCACAACCTTTTGGTCCACAGGGCTGACACTGTAACCAGCCAGGGCCACATACTATACTCTTCAGGACAACTTTACCAATGCACCCATAGATTCCCTGCCTGAGCACTTTGCTCTATCTTCATCTAACCAATTCCTATTAACCTCCAAGACTCACTTTAGTCCTAACTTCACCCAGGAATTGAATACTGATGTCCAGTGTCCTCCTCCATGCTCTCATTTCACATGGGCACACTTCTTTCTTAGCCCTGGCCAGTCTCTCATGATTTCCAATTCACTCATATGTCTTCCCATTCTACTACAATTCAAGGGTTGTAATATTAAGTAGGCATCAGAATCACCTGCTGACTTCCTTGCAAAGAAGTTTCTGATTAAGTGGACCTGTTGTAGGGCCCAAGAGCAAAGCCCCAAGTAATGCTGATGCTGGTTGAAAGGGTGCAGCAACACTCTGAGAACCATTATTCAACCTTTTCAAAGACTGGGCCAAATGTAATTCATATCTATCTCTAGAACTTGGTTTCATACTTGGCATGGGATAGAAGCTCAGAAAAGTGTTTTTTGAGCATCCAACGCATAAAAAGAGGAAAATAAGTTACCTGAATGGTAAGCTCTCTTCCCTCTCGGTTAATCTTCAAGTGGTGCATCCTTCTATTAGCAAAGTTCTCTACCTCAATGGTGAACACATGGGTTTCTTCCTTGCTCAGCTGATAGTGAACTTGTAAGCTTCCTTGAAAAATAAATGTTAGAAATTAGAATTAAAAATAAGACCCATAAAATTTAGAAGTATGATCAGATTGTATTTTAATTGATCATTATTATTCAATTAAATTGAAATTTTAAATTAAATAAGAAATCCATGCTTTAATTATTTTATCATTTAACTTTTTAAAAGATATGCTATTATTATAGCATTTGGGCGCATAAAGAAATCTCTGAGTATAGCTGCAAAATTAAAGCATGTGTGTGTGTGTGTGTGTGTGTGTGTGTGTGTGTGTGTAGAGTGTGTTATCAGAAACCAAAATACCAGTTTGTAAAATAAAACAGCCACAAGTCTATTTTGTAATTGAATTATGAAAATTTTAATAAGACAAAGTGTTTTTCTACTCTTTCTTTAATTCCTACCATATCCTATTTCTCCTTTTCTTCCTAATTGCCTTCATAAAATTCCATAATCTATAATGTGAAATAACCTAAGGCAGAAGATAAAAAGAAAATTTTGGGTTATGAGGCCATTACCTAACAGTCAACTAAGAGGAGAAGCTCCCTATAGTCAATCCTGGTTTTCTTATCTCCTCGTCTTTTGGTTCTGACCATCAAAAATGTTCAAATATTAATATTTTTGGTTATTTTATCACTTAATAATTAATAATAGCTTCCTATCAGTAGCATAGTTGATGCTGATAGGAGTTGGGGTGGGGGTTTGTGCAAAGGGGCCCTGGCTGCCAGTACTAGAGAAAGCTTATAGACACTTCTTGTTCACTAGTTGCTTTAGATGGTATTCTCTTTCAGACTTCTACAGTATTTTAAGACAAATAAAAATGGAAACACAATAATCAAAAATTGTTAGATGCAGCAAAAGCAGTTAAAAGAGGGAAATTCATAGTGTTGTGTGCCTACATCAAGAAACAAAAAAAGTATCAAATAAATAATCTAAATTTACACCTAAAGGAAATAGAAAATGAAGAACAGAGAGAACCAAGATGGCGGCACTGATACATACCACCTCCCACAACCACATAAAAATTTCAAATAAAATGCAAACCATCATTCAGAACTGCCTAAAATCTAGAGAAGTAAAGAAGAAAGTCCTACAACTAGAGAAGTAAAGAAAAAAGCACATTGAGACTGAAACTTTGCAGGCCAGAAGGTAGTTGCAAGAAATGTTCAAAGTGATGAATGGCAAGGACCTACAATCAAGATTACTCTACCCAGCAAAGTTCTCATTTAGAATTGAAGGTCTGATAAAGAGCTTCACAGATAAGAAAAAGCTAAAGGACTTAGTCACCACCAAGCCAGTACTACATGAAATGCTGATGGGGATTTTTTAAGAAGAGGAAGAGGAAGAAGATGAGGGGGAGGAGGAGGAGGAAGAGGAAGAGGAAGAGGAGGAGGAAGAATGAGAAGAAGAAGAAGAAGAAGGAGAAGAAGAAGAAGAAGAAGAGGAAGAAGAGGAAGAAAAGAAAAATAAATGAACAATAAAAATGGCAATAAATACATATCTATCAACATTGAATGTAAAAATCAAAATAAAGGAACAAAAAAATCTAATGAACAAAGTAAACTGATGAATAAAATAGAATCAGAGGCATGGAAAAATGAGACAGACAGACAAATCTCAGAAGGAAGGTGGTGGGGGAGACAGGAAGATACTAACCAAAGATGTTATATGCATATGTGCATTACCTCTGCAGAAAATAGGGTGATGAAGGCCTGGAGTGGGGTGGGAACCAGATGGAGGTGGGCAATGGGAAATAAAAAGAGGAACATATATAATAATCTCAATAATAAATATTTAAAAAAAAGAAAATGAAGAACAAACAAAAGCCAAAGTGAGTAGAAGGAAGGAAATAAAGATCAGAGCAGAAAAAAAATAAAATGGGACCAAAAAAATAAACAATAGAAAAAGTTGACAAAACTAAGCTAGTTTATTTTTAAAGATAAAAAAAAAAATAGATGAAGTTTCAGCCAGTCTTATCAAGGAAATAAAAAAGATAGAGGACCCAAATAAAATCAGAAATGAAAGAGAAGTAATAATCAACAACACAAAACTATATAGTATTATAAAAGAATACTATGAACAAAAAATTAGACAAGAATAAATGGATAATTTCCTAGAAACATGTAATCTTCTAAGAATGAACCAGGAAGAAATAGAAAACCTGAACATACTGATTAATATCTATAATAATAAAAGTTTAATATGCTAATTAGACTGGACAGCTGAATGACCTTCAGGATGTAATCCCAGATGAAGCCCTGGCAGCGGGGGACAAGGCAGAGGCAGCTAGGGGCGATGAGGCAGGCAGGTGAGCAGTTAGGGGCGATAAGGCAGGCAGGCAGAGTGGTTAGGGGTGATCAGGCAGGCAGGTGAGACGTTAGGGCTGATCAGGTTGGCAGGTGAGTGGTTAGGATGATGAGGCAGGCAGGCAAGTGGTTAGGAGCAAGTGGTCCTGGATTGAGAGATGTCTGACGGCCAGTTTAGGCCCAATCCCGCACCAGCAGTCAGACATCCCCCAAAGGGTCCCAGATTGTGAGAGAATGCAGGTTAGGCTGAGGGACCCCCCCGCCCCCCGCCATGTGCACTAATTTCATGCACAAGGCATCTAGTTCCATATAAAAAGAAAAATGAATCAGTACTCAAAAAGCAAAACCAAAAAAAAAAAAAAAAAACCCACACAAACAAACAATAAAACAATCACCAAACAAAAGTTTAGGACCAGACATATTCACAGATAAATTGCAGCCAAACAATCAAAATTTAAAATTATTTTTTTAAAAAATGAAGGAGGAAAGCTTTCAAACTCATTCTATGAGGCCAATGTTACCTGCTAACAAACAGTACAATGAAACTACTAAAATAGAAAATTATAGGCCAATATTCCTGATAGAGATAGAAGCAAAATTGCTCAACAAAATATTAGCAACTCAAATACAGCAATACATTAAAAAGATAATGCAATATGATCAAGTGAAATTTATTCCAGGAATTACAGATGCTTCAATATCCACAGAATAATCAATGTGTTGTACCATAACAACAAAATAAAGGAGAAAAATCATGACATCTCAATAGATTCAGAAAAAGAAATCACCAAAATTCAACATTCTTTTTATTATAAAACACTTAAAAAAGTGGCTATAAAAAGACATGCCTCAATATACAAAAGGCTGTACAGCAAACCCATAAGTGAGCATAATATTCAATGGTTAAAAGCTGAAAGCTTTTTCTCTCAGATCAGGAACAAGATAAGCATGCACACTTTCACTACTCTTATTCAACATAATATTGGAAGCAACAGCCAACGCAATCCCACAAGAAAAGGAAATAAAAAGATTCAAACAGAAAATAAAGAAGTAAAATTCTTACTATTTGCAGATAAATAAAACTATATTATAGAAAACTTTAAACATCCCAATAAAATTGTTAGAACTAATATTTGAATAAAATAAAGTTAAAGAATGCAAAATTAATATTCTATTGTTTTCTATACAAAAATAAGTTATCTGTAAGAGAAATTAAGAAAATAATTCCATTTACAATTGAAACAAAAACAATGAAATACCTAGAAATTAATTTAACCATGGAAGTAAAAGACTTGTGCTCTGGAAATTATAAAAGAAAGCGAAGAAGACACAACTAAAAGAAAAGCTAAACTATGGTCATGTACTCAAATAATTAACATTGTTAAAATGCCCACTGCTCAAAGCAATCTACCAGTTTATCACAATGCCTATCAAAATACCAATGGCATTTTTCACAAAAGACTCAGGATAGCCAAAGGAATCTTGAGAAAAAAGAACAAAGTTGGAGTATCACATTCTCTGATTTCAAACTATATCACAAAACTATAGAAATCAAATCAGTATGATACTGGCACAAAAACAGATAGATCAATGGAGCAGAATAGACATCCCAGAAATAAGCCCAACTAATCTGTGGCAATGAAGGCAAAATATACAAGGGGAAAAAGATAGTCTCTTCAATAAATGTGGTTGTAAAAACAAAACACACATATACAAAAAGTGAAACTAGGGCGGCCATTTTCCTAAACCATATACAAAAATGAACTCAAAATGAATGAAAGACTTAATTGTAATACCTGACACTCGTAGAAGGAAACTCTTTACATCCTTCTTAGCAATGTTATTTTTTAATATGTTTCCTTGGGCAAAGGCAACAAAAGCAAAAAAAATCAAGTGGAACTACATCAAACTAAAAAAACATTTGCATAGCAAAGAAAGCCATCAATGAAACGTAAAGGCTACTTATTGAAATGGAGAAGATATTTGTGGATTATATATCTTGTAAAAAGTTATATTATAAAATATATAAAGAGCTCATACAACTCAACATCAAAAGTCAAACAATCCATTTAAAAAAAAAAAAAAAAGAGCACAGGATCTGAATAGACATGTCTCCAAACAAGACATACAGATGGCCAATAGACATATGAAAATAGATCTTCAAAATTACTAATTATAAGGGAAATGCAAATCAAAGCTATGGGATATTTCACACCTGGTAGAATGGCTATTATCACAAAGAAAAAAGTAACAGGTGTTGCCACTGATGTGGAGAAAAGGGAACCCTAGTTCATTGTTGGGGGATTGCAAATTAGTGCAGCCACTATGGTGGTTCCTCAAAAAGAAACAAACAAACAAAAAACTACTGTACAACCAAGCAATTCCACTTCTGAATATTCATCCAAAGAAAACAAAATTAATAATTTGAAAAAATACATGCAGCCTATATTTGTTTCAGTATTATTTACACTAGCCAAGATATGAAAGCAACCTAGATATTCATTGATAGGTAAATGGATAAATAAGATGTGCTTTATACATAGGATGAAATGTTACCCAACCATAAAATAGAATGAAATCTTGCCATTTACAATAACATGGCTGGATCTAGACAGGGGAGGGCAAACTTTTTGACTCAAGGGCCACAATGGGTTCTTAAACTGGACTCAGAAGAAGGAGCTGCGGCCGTGTTTCCCGAAGTTG